TGATAGTCAAAGTACTCTTGATTTGAGCAAGAATTCCATATTCCACTCCAGGACGAAACACATTAATGTGAGACATCATTGGCTTAAAGAAGTAGTTGAGAAAGAGGAGTTGAAGCTACAGAAGATTCACACAAATAAAAATCCAACAGATTTTTTAATGAAGATTGTTTCTAGAGAGAAGCCTGAGTTGTGTCAACAAATGACCGGCATGAACTCCCGTTGAGGAGTTATTGATTGGCATACCCCTTTGTTGGGCTGGAGGGGGAGATTATTGTGAGTCCAGCCCAAGATAATGCCCACATGAGGTTCACATGAATTAAAACTCTATCTAGAAGTGGATTTAGATGATCTATTTGAAATAAAAATAGGTTTGGAGAATTCTATATATAAGAAACCTATATTTTTTCGGTGCTACAATGTCGGCTACAGTACCATAAACAACACCGAGAGAAAAAGGAGAGAGAAAAGTTCAAATTTCGGATAGCTCGGTTGTCCGATTGTAATGATTCAAAAGCTTTTGTCTTCAGAACAACGACGTCATCGAGGGTACGGTGCTGGTTTCTTCACGGGTATTGGAGATTTTTGGTGAGACAGGTTTTAGGGTTTTGGTATCCTAGAGGTAACACTGTATCTTTCTCTTGTGATTTAATCCTCAAGTTCAGGTGTCACTTGGAGGGATTGTACTCTTGATTCATAGTAAAATATTTCTCTCTAGATTTCCCTATGGACGTAGGCACAATTTGTCAAACCACGTTAAATCTTGATGTTTGCTTGCTTGTGGTATTTTCATTGGTGTCATTATTCGTTTAGTCGTTAATTCCGTATATTAATCTCCATAAAATCCCTAACAATTAGAACTCCACGAAATCTAGCATTTTGGGAAAAGAGGCTAAAAAGACTTCATGATCACCTTAGCGAGGTCCTCACCATGAGATCTGGTAGCAGAGAGAGAACAAGCCTTTTCCATGCTCGAGCCTCTCATCAGTGTCAAAAGAATACAATAATAATGTCAAAAGGGGTGGATTGTACTAAATACATCAAAGAATAGGACATGATGAATGTGCTCGTGACCTATTTTCAGCAAATTTTAACCACTAATGATCCTAAAATTTTTGATGAGATCCTAAATGCTGTTGATAGTAGAGTGACTATTGAAATGAATATCATGTTGTCCAAAACGTTCATTGCAGATGAAGTGGAAGAAGTTATTTGCAACAAAAGCTCCTGGTTCGAGCAGTATATGTCCGCTATATTTTATCAAAAATATTGGCATATTATTGGTCATGGTGTTACTAGAGCTTTCCTCTCTTTTCCCGAATGATGGGATTTTCCTTGATCGCATTAAGCACACTTATCTTATTTTGGTCCCTAAAGTTCATAACCCCAACTCCGTGTCGTGACTCAGCTTAAACAAATAAGCTTGCGTAACATCATTTACAAGATAGTATCCAAGGTTCTTATCTATAGATTAAAGAAAATTTTGGCATCGGTCATTTTTGAAGCTCAGAGTGCTTTTGTAGCAGGAAGGCCGAAGGAAAATATCAAATAATATTATAGTAGCTTATGAAATGATCCATGCATTAAAAAATAAAATAAGAGGGAGGAATACTATGTGTGCTCTGAAATTAGATACGAGCAAAGCATACGATCGAGTGGAGTGGGGTTTTCTTAGAGCTATCACGTAAAAATTGGGGTTTCATGCACACTAGGTCAATACAGTTATATAGCGCATCACTTTCTTTTATTTGTTTTTTATTTTTTATTTTTTCTTCTTGTCGAGAGAGATGGCATCTTGTGTCTTCTTCATCTTCTTTTTTTCAAGAAAATTAAAAAGAGTTGTGTCTCGATCAAGGTTCTTCAAGTTCTGATTGTGAGCCTTATCTAAAAAATCAAGATTTTGTGAAGCCCTTGAGTGCAAATCACGAATAATTAAAAGATCTACGATCTCGGTCGTGGGCCTTTGATTTTGAGTGCAAATCAAGCCCATTTGTTATAGAATCAACCCTTTTTTTGGAAACCCCAGGGGATTCTTGGTTCTCGAGTTTATATCATTTGTCATCTCGAGGTAAAAAAAAATGGACAAAACTTCAAAACCGTCCTATTTGCAAACTTAATCCCAAAAACCAATATGTTTCTCCTTTATTTGCAAAAACCGACTTAGTTTCAGAAAAAGTTCACAAACTTCACGGGAGTTGAAGTCCCATGAAGTCTTTTTCATAACAAAACTTCACAGGAGTTGAGTCCCGTGAAGTTTTTTATGTAAAAAAAACTTCACGGGACTTCAACTCCCGTGAAGTTTGTGAACTTTTTTTTCAAAAACCGATCGTTTTTTGCAAATAAAGGTGAAACGGGTTGGTTTTGAGATTAAGTTTGCAAATAGGGCTGTTTTGAAGTTTTGTCAAAAAAAATCTTTCCTCTTCCTCCTCTCACAATTGATTTCATTAAGAACTATCATCTCTGTTTTTTGCTGCGAAGGAAGGAATTGTATGGCGAGAGAGTGTAGGGATCCGAAGATTTGCTTCAGATGTAGAGGTTTTGGGCATCCGATGATTCAGGAAGCTAGATTTTACCCTTCATAACAGCTACTCCAAAGATCTATTGTGAATCCTAATCTAGGGTTAAAAGATAGTGATAAGGCTAAAAGATTTGAAGTAGATACTTCTCCTGTGAGTCAAAGCCAATGATCAAACCCTAATGAAGGCCATCAATTGGTTGCCTAAAAAGGAATTGTGAAGAAATTTGATGACCAGCTTCTAAGAGTTTATGGGAGTCTAGAAGCAGAACTGAGGGCCTCAGGTGATAAGACTCTGATTTCCATTTGCTATTCTTAATTTATCTGGTGTTGCTAATCCAAAATTCCAAAAGTACAGAAATTATGCTGTCATTAGTTTCATTAAAGGGTGCTAATATTTTTTATGGAGAAGTTGGAACTTGAATTGAGAGCTTTTGGTCCTGAAAGTAAACAGTGGGATATCAAATTGTATACTGATGGGGAAGTTCTAGTTAAAGTTCAGCCATGGAGGAAAATAGAAGATCTGATCAGGAGAGGTGTTATCGATCTTTATTCTTATAAGATTAAATTTAAAAAGAGGAGTGATAAAGAAGGAAGAGTAATAGAGAATGGAAAATGCCATCCTCAGATAAATTTGAAAAATGTCCCGCCTTTCTCATGCAATAAATAAGTCTTTTGAACATACGTATGATTGCTCCGTTTACTGGTTATGTTGACATGGATCCATTAACTGCTATTGAATCAATTTTAGTTGATGCGGTATTATTTTAGTGAAATATCTGGAGTTTACTGACGTCCCAAAAATTTTGAAACTTTTTGTGGGCGTGTACCAATATAATATTGACATCTTAACAATGGATGTGCTTGAGGAAGAATCTTCTACTGTGAAAAAGAAACAGAAGATAGAGCAAGAGTTTGAAGATGATCAAAATTCCTATCATACAGGATGGTTTAAGGGTAGACATGGTAGTGGTCCTTCTGAAAAATCTTCTTTGAAGATGCCAGCTAATAATTCACAGACAGCTAAGCAAGATTATAGACAACATTCATGGGGGACTCCAGCTACTAAATTGTGGAATGAGGCTAAACACTTTTTTGCCAAGTCTATTTCTTCAGTACATGAAGAGAGAAGGTCATCTATCCCATAAGATAGAAAACAAATGAAGACATAAAGGGCCAAGAGATAGATCAAAATGAAATCGGATTGGATAGTTGAGATCATCAAAAAGACGGCTTGAAGGAAAGCATTGAACAAGAAGTTCAACATGTAGAGGAAGTCAATCATGAGAAGGAGATAGAAAAATCAATGGAGGATTCAGAAAATTGACAAAATGGATTCTACACTTTGGTCTCTAGCTCCTTGTCCATCTGAAGAGTGTCATTCCTCTAAGATGATGTCCGAACTGATGATATAAATGAAACTATTGAAAATGATGGGAAATTCTCATTATATATCCTGTAGATGTGATTCCTCATAGTTTTGATAAAAACTGCATGACGTATTGCACAATCTGATGGGATTGGTTATGTGATAAGAAGTTCAAGATTATAGGTAGCGAGGCTATTTCAGCAAAGGATAGAGCCCAACTTAGAGCAGCTGCAAGGGACTCAGGGGAGAAAGTAACTTTTGGAGCTATAGTTGATTCAGGTGATTCTGCTCCTCTTGGTTCTACTTTTTTCTCTATCCTTTATGATATATTTCTAATGGTCAAATGCGTAATGTTGCTTCCCAGTGTGCCGTTTAGTTTTATTCTCAAGACAGGTTTAATACTCTTGATAAAAATTAGACAAATGGAGAAGGACAGAGCTACATTTTAGTAGTTCTGTTCTTCTGTGAGGGGTTAATGTCTTTTAACAAGTTATTTACTTGGAATATTAGGGGGCTTGGAGACAAGTGAGAAAAGTTTTGAAGTCACAGATTTTCTGTACTTAAACAAGTTTGAAATAACTTGCTTATAAGAGACTAAGCTTCAATATGTGTCTGATGCTATCTTGAAAAGTTTGAGGGATACTTTTTATGATTAATGTGTTTTACTATCTAAGGGCATCTCCAACCCATCGCACTAAAATGGTACAAATTTTGCATCAAAATGGTGCAAAACTCATATCTAACAGTAATTCATCTCCAACCCATTGCACCATTTTTTGCAAAAAAAAAGAATATTCTCAGTATATTCTTTTTTATCTACTTTTATATTATTATTATTTTTTATTCCCTATATTTTTAACTATTTCAACAATTAACCCCACATATCAAATTTTATTTTTTTCACATATTTTTCAAACAAAATGATTTATTATTTAAAAAATTAAACTAATAAAATAATAAAATATTATTTTATTAATTAAAATAACTTGATTGCTAAAATATTATATTTTTATTATTGATATTGCCAAAATATTACATTTAAGAACATAACAGAAAATAAAATACAAGAAAATAATTAAACATTAACAACAATGTAAAAATTACAAATTTATTATGCACTTAACTATCTGAATTAGTGTATTCCTCCCATAAATGATCTATCAATGCATTACGAAGCGCGATATGGGCATCTTTATCATTGATTTGTCTGTAACGTGTAATAAATTGAGTAAATCTTGTAGTTTCATCTGCTACAATATCAACTTCTGGTATTGGTGCTTCCCTCACTTCTTGAATTGGTGCATAAACATCACGTTCATCCTCGATTATCATATTGTGCATAATAATGCATGCAGTCATTATGTCATGTAATACATGTTTTTTCCAAAAACGTGCTGATCCTGCCACAATTGCAAATCGTGATTGGAGAACTCCGAACGCACGTTCTACATCTTTTCTACATGCTTCATGTTTCATGGCAAAATAATTTTTCTTCTTACTTTGTGGCTGTTGGATTGTTTGTACAATAGTAGCCCATTTTGGATATATACCATCAGCTAAATAATAACCCATATTATACTCTTTTCCTTGAATAACATAGTGAGCGGGAGGAGCAATACATTGAGCTAGATTAAAGAAAAGATTAGATGACTCCAGTACATTGATGTCATTATTGGTGTCTGACATACCAAAATATGCGTACCATATCCAAAGATCATAATCTGCCACAATTTCAAGGATAATAGTTGGTGACCCACTACGTCCTACGTATTGCCCAGACCATGTCGTTGGACAATTTTTCTATTTTCAATGCATACAATCAAGACTTCCCAACATTCCTGGAAAACCATGTTTTTTTACCAATATAGAGTAGCCTAGCAATATCGTTAGCGTTAGGTGTTCGTAGATACCGCTCTGCGAATATTTCCACCATAGCACGATAAAATTTTATCATACTAAATTGTTGTTGACTCACCTATTTTAACGTATTCGTCCGTAGTATTAACTGGTAGGCCGTATGCCAACATGCGAAAAACAACTGTTACTTTCTGTAACGGTGATAATCTCATTCTACCAAGTCCATCACTTTGTTGTTGGAAGTAATAGTCATAATCTTTCACTGCATCAACAATACGAAGGAACAAACTTCTTGACATCCGATATCGACGACGAAACATATCTTCTCCAAAACGTGGATTATCGGCAAAGTAATCTATGACCAAATTCTGATGCGTAGTTTCTCGATCGCGGTTGATCACTGCATGATCGGGAATCGAGCCACCATGGATCTGTTGGTAGTTTTGTTGACGTAAATTATTAGCAAGGATCATGTTGTTGTTGATGTACTCACAAATTACTTCTTCGGTTTTATCAATCTCTGTAATGATATTAGACAAAAAAATTATCATCATCCGAAGATGAAGATGATGATAAATATGATGGACCTCTAGCACCAAAATTTATTTTTAAAGTAAGAAAATAATGACTCAAGTATGCAGAAATGGAGAATAATAATTTTAACACAACAACGAGTAATTGTATGGATGTACCTAATCTAGTATGCTATTTATAAAACTTTGCTTAGCTGTATACATTGAACAATGTGTAAATTTGAGTTGATTTAAGGAAATGCTTTCCAGCTGTTATCAATTTTTCATAAAATTTAAATTTGCTTAGCTGTATACGTTGGACAATGTGTAAAGCTGACCTGATTTCAAAAATTGATTCCCACTCGTATAAAGCTTTCACACAATTCAATGAAAGCTGAGCTGTGTATACGTTGGACAATGTGTAAAGCTGACCTGATTTCAAAAATTGATTCCCACTCGTATAAAGCTTTCACACAATTCAAGGAAAGCTGAGCTGTGTATACGTTGGACAATGTGTCAAGCTGATCTGATTTCAAAAAATGATTCTCACTCGTATAAAGCTTTCACACAATTCAAGGAAAGTTGAGCTGTGTATACGTTGGACAATGTGTCAAGCTGACCTGATTTTAAAAAATGATTCTCACCGACAACGTTGGACAATGTGTAAAGCTGATCAGTTTGTACACAACATCTTCAATTTCAAATGTTGACCACCAATAAATTCAAATTCAAATTCAAACAAAAAAAACAAATTTGGATTGGCTATAAATAACATTCACGAATTCTACTTCAAACCACCCAATTCGAATTATTTCTTCAAAGTATTTCTAATCTCCAACCCAATCGCGTTTTACAAAAAAATGTCTGTTCGATCATCTGGATACACGGTTACGGAAGATGTGCTCCTTTGTCAAGTATTCTTGGATATTTCTCAAGACCCTATTATCGGTAGAAACCAGTCTCGAGATGGATTTTGGTCCTGTGTAGAGGACAAATACAATAAACTTCGATATCAGCATTTTGAGGTGCGTACGAGCCGATCAATTCGTTCTCGAATGGAAATCATAAGTAATGAAATAAGGAAATTGAATGCGTGCTTGAGACAAGTAAAGAATCTGAATCCAAGTAGTGCTTCAGATGAAGATATTGTAAGTACTCTATTAATTATCGTTTGAAATTATTATTATTGTTGAAATACATAACTTGATGTTCACTATAATTTACAGTTAGTTCGAGCAAAGATGTTATTTATGCAAGAACCAAACTACAAAAAAGGTTTCAAATTTGATCATGTCTGGAATATGGTTAAAATTTTTGAAAAATTTAAAGATGATGTCCCCACAGCAAGACAAGTTGGTCGAAGACAACCCCAAAGTGTGAACTTCGACTTGTCACAATCAGATAATCCCACTCCGGAATCTCCTATATCAACATCTCCTGGACTGTCATCATTTACTTCATCTGAACGGCCTATTGGGGTAAAAAAAGCCAAATTAAAAAGGTAAAATGATGATCATGAGTCAAGTGTAGTGGACTCCATCGAGACCTCCAATAACCGACTTATAGACAGGTTAGACAAGGCGAGCTTGGACAGGCAAGTAGCATTTGATATCGAACGAGAAAAGATAGCCATGAAAAAAGATAGAGATGAATTGAAAATTATAATGAAAGATTTGAATTCCATTGCTGATCCAAACATGTGTGAGTACGTTCGAACTCAACAGATTAAAATAATACAAAAAAGAAATCAATAAGAACAAGGGTCTGCTTCTAACTTTGGTAATTATTTCAATGATATTGGACACTCTGGCCCCGATCTACCAGATTATTGAGAGTTGTTTGTCCATCTTATGTAATGTTCCATGTTTAGTTTGTATTTTATGTTTTATTTTAATGAAGTTTTATATTATGTGTGTTAGTTTTTATATGTTATGTATTTCAGATATGTAATTTATATTTGAAGTTTTATATTATGTGTGTTAGTTTTTATATGTTATGTATTTCAGATATGTAATTTATATTTGAATTATATATTAGGATTGCTCTTTATATTTCATGGGACTTTACTTATAATGTCTAGATTTTAATATTATAATTAATAATAATATATTTTAATTTTAGCATTATTTTTATTTTTTAAAAATAATTTATTTTGTATGAATTATACAATTGGGGTAAAATTATAAAATTTAAATATTATTGGGGTTGTTTTATACATTTAATAAAACAATTAGGGTCAAATTGTAAATACATAAAAGTATGAGGTAAAATAAAAAAATAAAAAAAATAAAAAAAAATAAAAACAAACAGTAATGCGGTGATGAACAGTGCGATGCCAAATACGGCGTCACGCTATTCATCACTCTAAAATGCAGCGAAATATGGCGTCGCGTTAGAGCTCCTGAGCAGCGACAAAACGACTTTTTGCGGCAAAATAGCGCTGCGTTGGAGATGGTCTTAGCGGTGATGAACAGCGCGACACCATATTTGGCGTCACACTGTTCATCAACGCATTATTTTTTGTTTTTATTTTTTTTATTTTTCAATTTTTTTATTTACCTCATACTTTTATGTATTTACAATTTGACCCTAATTGTTTTATTAAATGTATAAAACAACCCCAATAATATTTAAATTTTATAATTTTTACCCTAATTGTATAATTCGGACAAAATAAATTATTTTTTAAAAATAAAAATAATGCTAAAATTTAAAATATATTATTATTAATTATAATATTAAAATCTAGACATTATAAGTAAAGTCTCATGAAATATAAAGAACAATCCTAATACATAATTCAAATATAAATTACATATCTTAAAATACATAACATATAAAAACTGACACACATAACATAAAACTTCACTAAAATAAAACATAAAATACAAACTAAACATGGAACATTACATAAGATGGACAAACAACTCTCAATAATCTGGTAGATCGGGGCCAGAGTGTCCAATATCATTGAAATAATTACCAAAGTTAGAAGCAGACCCTTGTTCTTGTTGATTTTTTTTGTATTATTTTAATCTGTTGAGCTCGAACGTACTCACGCACGTTTGGATCAGCAATGGAATTCAAATCTTTCATTATAATTTTTCATTCATCTCTATCTTTTTTCATGGCTATCTTTTCTCGTTCGATATTAAATGCTACTTGCCTGTCCACGCTCGCCTTCTCTAACGTGTCTATAAGTCGGTTATTGGAGGTCTTAATGGAGTCCACTACACTTCACTCATTATCATCATTTTTCCTTTTCAATTTGGTTTTTTTACCCCAATAAGTCGTTCAGATAGAGTAAATGATGACAGTCTAGGAGATATTGATATAGGACATTTCGGAGTGGGATTATCTGATTGTGACGAGTCGAAGTTCACATTTTGGGGTTGTCTTCGACCAACTTGTCTTGCTGTGGGGACATCATCTTTAAATTTTTCAAAAATTTTAACCATATTCCAAACATGATCAAATTTGAAACCTTTTTTGTACTTTGGTTCTTGCATAAATAACATCTTTGCTCGAACTAACTGCAAATTATAGTGAACATCAAGTTATGTATTTTAACAATAATAATAATTTCAAACGATAATTAATAAAATACTTACAATATCTTCATCTGAAGCACCACTTGGATTCAGATTCTTTACTTGTCTCAAGCACGCATTTAATTTCCTTACTTCATTACTTATGATTTCCATTCGAGAACGTATTGATCGGCTCGTACGCACCTCAAAATGCTGATCTCGAAGTTTATTGTATTTGTCCTCTACACAGGACCAAAATCCATCTCAAGACTGGTTTCTACCGATAATAGGGTCTTGAGAAATATCCAAGAATACTTGACAAAGGAGCACATCTTCAGTAACCGTGTATCCAGATGATCGAACATACATTTTTTTGTAAAAAGCGGTTGGTTTGGAGATTAGAAATACTTTGAAGAAATACTTCGAATTGGGTGGTTTGAAGTAGAATTCGTGAATGTTATTTATAGCCAATCCAAATTTATTTTTTTATGTTTGAATTTGAATTTGTCGGTGGTCAACATTTAAAATTGAAGATGTTGTGTACAAACTGATCAGCTTTACACATTGTCCAACGTTGTCGGTGGGAATCATTTTTTAAAATCGGGTTAGCTTGACACATTGTCTAACGTATACACAGCTCAGCTTTTCTTGAATTGTGTGAAAGCTTTATACGAAGGAGAATTATTTTTTTGAAATCAGGTCAGCTTGACACATTGTCCAACGTATACATAGCTCAGCTTTCCTTGAATTGTGTGAAAGCTTTATACGAGTGGGAATCGATTTTTGAAATCAGGTCAGCTTTACACATTGTCCAACGTATACACAGCTCAGCTTTCCTTGAATTGTGTGAAAGCTTTATACGAGTGAGAATCAATTTTTGAAATCAGGTCAGCTTTACACATTGTCCAACGTATACACAGCTTAGCTTTCCTTGAATTGTGTGAAAGTTTTATACGAGTGGGAATCAATTTTTGAAATCAGGTCAGCTTTACACATTGTCCAACGTATACAGCTAAGCAAATTTAAATTTTGTGACGAATTGATAACAGCTGGAAAGCATTTTCTGAAATTAGCTCAAATTTACACATTGTTCAATGTATACGGCTAAGCAAAGTTTTATAAATAGCATACTAGATTAGGTACATCCACACAATTACTCGTTGTTGTGTTAAAATTATTATTCTCCATTTCTGCATACTTGAGTCATTATTTTCTTACTTCAAAAATGAATTTCGATGCTGGAGGTCCATCATATTTATCTTCATCTTCATCTTCGGATATTGATAATTTTCTGTCTAATATCATTGAAGAGATTGATGAAACCGAAGAAGTAATTTGTGAGTACATCAACAACAACATGATCCTCGCTAACAATTTACGTCAACAAAACTACCAACCGATCCATGGTGGCTCGATTCCCGGTCATGCAGTGATCAACAACGATCGAGAAACTATGCATCAGAATTTGGTCATAGATTAGTTTGCCGATAATCCACATTTTGGAGAAGATATGTTTCGTCTTCAATATCGGATGTTAAGAAGTTTGTTCATTCGTATTGTTGATGCAGTGAAATATCATGACTATTACTTCCAACAATGAAGTGATGGACTTGGTAGAATGGGATTATCACCATTACAGAAAGTAACAGCTGTTTTTCGCATGTTGGCATACGGCCTACCAGTTAATACTACGGACGAATACGTTAAAATAGGTGAGTCAACAGCAATTTAGTATGATAAAATTTTATCGTGCTATGGTGGAAATATTCGCAGAGCGGTATCTACGAACACCTAACGCTAACGATATTGCTAGGCTACTCTATATTGGTAAAAAAACATGGTTTTCCAGGAATGTTGGGAAGTCTTGATTGTATGCATTGAAAATAGAAAAATTATCTAACAGCATGGTCTGGGCAATACACAGGACGTAGTGGGTCACCAACTATTATCCTTGAAGCTGTGGCAGATTATGATCTTTGGATATGGTACGCATATTTTGGTATGTCAGGCACCAATAATGATATCAATGTGCTGGATTCATCTAATCTTTTCTCTAATCTAGCTCAAGATATTGCTCCTCCCGCTCACTATGTTATTCAAGGAAAAGAGTATAATATGGGTTATTATTTAGCTGATGGTATATATCCAAAATGGGCTACTATTGTACAAACAATCCAACAGCCACAAGGTAGGAAGAAAAAATATTTTGCCATGAAACAGGAAGCATGTAGAATAGATGTAGAATGTGCGTTCGGAGTTCTCCAATCTCGATTTGCAATTGTGGCAGGATCAGCACGTTTTTGGAAAAAAACATGTATTACATGACATATTGACTGCATACATTATTATGCACAATATGTTAATCGAAGATGAACGTGACCTTTATGCACCAATTCAAGAAGTAAGGGAAGCACCAACACCAGAAGTTGATATTGTAGCAGATGAAACTACAAGATTTACTCAATTTATTGCACGTTACAGACAAATCAAGGATAAAGATGCTCATATTACGCTTCGTAATGCATTGATAGATCATTTATGGGAGGAATACACTAATTCAGATAGTTAAGTGCATATTAAATTTATAATTTTTACATTGTTGTTAATGTTTAATTATTTTCTTGTATTTTATTTTCTGTTGTGTTCTTAAATGTAATATTTTGGCAATATCAATAATAAAAATATAATATTTTAGCAATCAAGTTATTTTAATTAATAAAATAATATTTTATTAGTTTAATTTTTTAAATAATAAATCATTTTGTTTAAAAAATATGTGATAAAAATAAAATTTGATATGTGGGGTTAATTATTGAAATAGTTAAAAATATAAGGAATAAAAAATAATAATATAAAAGTAGATAAAAAAGAATATACTAAGAATATTCTTTTTTGGTACAAAAAATGGTACAATGGGATGGAGATGAATTATTGTTAGATGTGACTTTTGCACCATTTTGGCACAAAATTTGCACCATTTTGGTGCGATGGGTTGGAGATGCCCTAAAATGCAGCGAAATATGGCGTCGCGTTGGAGCTCCTGAGCAGCGGCAAAACGAGTTTTTGCGGAAAAATAGTGCTGCGTTGGAGATGGTCTAAGGGGGGTTCAGGTGGTATTTTAATTGGTTGGAATTATCATACTTGGAGAAAAATGAATGAGTTCTTAGGTATTTTTGCTTTGTTACAGAACAAGAAGACTGGTTTTGTGTGGACTATTACCTGTGTATGGTCCTCATCCTAATAAAGAGAGACAGTATTTTTGGCAATAATTAAGAAACTTGAAATTTTGTATTAGTGGGGCATGGGTTATTGCTGGTGATTTCAATATGATTATTAATCCAAGTGAAAGACAGTGTAAGACTAACCACTCTAAAAATATGGAAGAATTTTCAGATATTATTAATAAGATGGAGCTAATTGATAGTCCTTTACTTGGGAGAAAATTTACATGGTCAAGTAAAAGAAGAAATCCTTCTATGACTAGACTTGATAGAGTTTTTTTTCAACTCTATTTGGGAATATGTTTATCCTTTATCTACAAAGCAAGGTTTGAGTAGTCAATTGTCGAATTATGTACCTATTGCCTATGATTTTGGTGAACATTAACATTTTCATAAGATGTTTAGATTTGGAAAAAAAGTATGGGTTTAAACTAAGGATTTTAAAAATAAAGTACCAATTTCATGGAGACATGCTCCTTATAGCTCATCTGCAGCTAAGAATATTGTTGGGAAGCTAAAATATGTCAGATACAATATCAAAAAGCAGACTCGGACATGTTTATATAGTGTCAAATGAAATAAGAAAGACCTCATTAATGATCTTACGAAATTGGACATCTTGGAAGAAGATAGAATTTTGGATGATGAGGAAATTACGCGAAGGGATGATATTACTAATTAGTTGAATGCCTTGTTATGTCAAGAGGAGACAATGTGAAAATAAAGAGTAAAGGCTTACTAGTTAAAAGAAGAAGATAATAACACGTGTTAATTCCATAGATTAGCAAATTGGAGGAAAAAAACAATCAGATTAGCTCAATTGAAGTTAATGGGGTGGAGGTTAGCTCTAAAGAAGGGATTGATAATGCTTTCTTTGAACATTATAAATATATGTTTGATCAATCAGTTTCTGATAGAATTGATCTTAATTGGGAAATGCTCTTTAGATTTAATTGGGGAGTAGAAGAGTTGGAAATATCTTTCACTTTGGAAGAAATCAAGAGTGCTGTTTTTGACATGCACAGTGATAAGTCTCCAGAACCTGATGGGTTTTCTGCTATTTTTTAGGTCTTTGGGGACTGTGTTAAGGATGATTTGAAGAAAAAAAATTTGATGAATTTTTTGAAGGGAATCTTGAAATTAAAAGACTCAACTATGCTTACATTATTCTTATACAAAAAAAAATTCAGAGGCATGTGCAGTGCAGTTAATGAATATAGACCTATCAGTCTCTTGAATGTTATATAAAAGATCATCACAAAAGTTCTGACAAATAGACTAAACGTTGAATTAAATCTCTTGATTGATCCTATGCAAACAGGTTTTGTTTAGGGTAGACATTTGTTGGAGGGGTGGTAGCTATCCAAGAGATAATTTCAGATTGTTTCAAAAATAAAAAGTTGGGAGGCATTCTTTTGAACTAGACTTTGTGAAAGCCTATGCCTTTTGGATTGGAATTATATTCTAGATGTTCTTAATGCTAAAGGTTTTGGGAAAAAGTGGATTAGTTGGATTGATATGTATATAAAGGGAGGTTTATCAGCAGCAGTTCATAATGGCAAACCAGGAAAATGGATTATGTCAAGGAGGGGGTACGCCAGGGAGATCCATTATCATCTCTGCTATTTGTTTTAGTGCCATAATGTTTTACTAAAATATTGAATTTGGCTATGGAAGCTAATTTAATAGAGAGACTTTGATCTGATACTATGAGACAGAAGATCATTTGTTTGCAGTATGCTGATGATACACTTAATTTTTTACAAAATATAAACATGATCAATTAGCAGTTTTGAAACTGGTTCTACATGGTTTTGAATTAGCCTTTGGTTTCCAAGTAAGTTTGTATAAAAGTATGCTTATAGCTTTGGAGGATAATGTGCTTCTGCAACAAGATCTTGCAACTATGATGAATTGCAAGTGTGGTAACTTTCCTATAACATATTTAGGCATCACTATGAGACCAGTAAAATTGTTAAAAGAAGATTGGTTCCATCTTTTTGATAAATTTAAAAAGAGACTAGCTCTGTGGAAAGGAAGATCTTTATCTAAGGGGAGAAGACTTGTTTTGGTAAGCTCAGTCCTCTCCTCTATGCCCATTTTCTGGATGGCTTTCTTTATTTTTCCTAATTGGGTGTGTGAGAAACTTGATAGAATGAGAGAGAGATTCTTTTGGATAGGATCTTTAGATCACAAAGTTCATCCAACTTGGTGTATTGGGGGGAAGTTTGTAAACAAAAAAAAAAGCAGGGGATTGGAAGTTGTGGACCTAAAGACTATGCATAGAGCTTTATTGGGAAAATGGTTATGAAAATGGAGAGATGGTCAATCTGTGCTTTGGAAATATATTATTCAACACAAATTCTACCGAAACAGAAACTATTTAGATTTTATAAGTCTACATAAATCAGGTTGTATCATATTTTTGGAGGTCAATGTTTGTGAATACTGCAAGCTTATTAAAATAACACTTGTGTTGTCATTGGTGATGGTAAGCATACTTTTTTTTTGTTGGATAAATAGATTGGTGCTTCCACTTTATCATCCCTTTTCCTTAATCTATTTACTTTGGCAGATAATCCTAATGCTACTATTTATTCTTTAAAAAATTAGAGAAAATAAACTTGGAATGGAATAAACTGTTTATGAGACAGTTAAGTGGTACTCTAGTAATACAACTTTTTGATATGCTAGCAGTAATTAATTCAGTTCAGTGGACTGAAGAAGGTGATAAAAGGAGATGGAGTTTGGAACCAAGTGGAAATTTTATAGTGAAATCATATTATCAGCTTCTCATTGATGGGGGACTGAGATTTGATTGTGAGAACATTTGAAATTTGTCTATTCCCCTCAAAAGTAAAAATTACTTGATAGTTGGCTTTAAGAGAAAATTTGAATACCAATGATAATTAGAGGAGTAAAAACATCCAGTTCAAGCTGTTTGTAAGCTTTTTTGATGAGGAAAATGAATCACATTTACACATTATCATACATTGCAGATTTGTTGAGTCCATTTGGAGATCATTGCAGAATAGACTGGAGGTGTCTAAAAATTTTAAGTTGGGATCTCTTAAATAGTTATGACTTCAATGGGGAATAGGGCTTAAGGCAGAATTCAAACTAAAAAGGGATGTTTTTATATATATTGTAAGATTAGGGTTAGTTTCTCTCATTGAGAGACCCCTCTTTTATATTAATGCATTCTTACAACTAGGTCCTTACAACATTGACTAATTCACTTAGTATCTAAATAACTCAACACTCCCCCTCAAGATGAGCGATAGATATCAATCATCCCCATCTTGTTACATAAGATATCATACTCTCTAGAATCTAATCCTTTTGTTAAACAATCAGCTAACTGCTCTTCTGATTTCACATAGCTCAAAGTCAGAACTCTTCTATTCAGTTGCTCCTTGATAAAGAACCGATCAATCTCCACATGTTTGGTGCGATCATGCTGAACTGGATTGTTTGCAATATTAATCGCCGATTTGTTGTCACACCAAAGTTGTAAGGAGTCTCTTCTAAACAAGCGCAGCTCAGATAATATGTTTTTGACCCACATCAACTCACACAGACTAACTGCCATAGCCCTGTACTCAGCCTCAGCTGTAGACCTGGCCACCACATCTTGCTTCTTGCTACGCCACGATACGAGATTGCCTCCAACAAATACACAGTAGCCTGTAGTGGATCTACGATCATCCATACAACCCGCCCAATCAGCATCACAATAGCCTTCAATTATAGGAGTAGATGCAACTCTGCACCCCAACATCCATGTCTCTGAGAGAAGATCCAGAGCATACTTCCGCTGAGAAAGCACTATACCCTTTCGCGACCTTGCAATTTCAATTCCGAGAAAGTACTTCAACTGCCCCAGATCTTTAACTTCAAATTCCTCTCAATTTCTTCTTCAATAGTAGGATTTCCTCAGCGTCATCTCCAGTGATTACAATATCATCAACATAAACCGCCAGGATAGTGATACGAGTTTTGGAGTGCCTGTAAAATACAGTATGATCACTATTGCACTGCTTGTACCCCATACCACAAACTGCCAACCTGAATCTATCAAACCATGCCCTCGGAGACTGTTTTAACCCATACAAAGACTTCTTCAACTTGCACACCTTCCCAGCTACTTGAGAAGTAGTAAAGCCTGGTGGAATCTCCATATATACCTCCTCTTGAAGATCTCCATGTAAAAAGGCATTCTTGACATCTAGCTGATGTAGTGGCCAATTAAAGTTGGCAGCACATGACACCAACACTCTAACAGTACTCATCTTTGCTACTGGAGCAAATGTCTCGTCATAGTCAATGCCGTATGTTTGGCTGTAGCCTTTAGCAACCAATCTGGCCTTGTATCTGTCGATCTTGCCCTCTGGAGTTTGCTTAACCGTATACACCCACTTACATCCAACAGCACGCTTCCCAGCTGGCAAAGGTACCAAGTCCCATGTGTCATTCTTCTTCAATGCCTGGAGTTCCTCATGCATGGCATTCAACCACCTAGGATCTTGCTTAGCTACCTGCGGGTTGTTAGGTACAGGCACTGAATGCAACGATGCAATGAATGACTTATATGCAGGTGGAATGGATGCATATGAAATGTAATTCGCAATATCAGTATCTCAATTACCAAACTTAACTGGAGGTTTTCCAGCATTGACTCTAGAGGTTCTGCGCGGCAAGACAGGAGTATCAGAGGTATCAGGGAAGGAATCGTTACCTATCGACTCAGGTGGAGGAGAAGAGCAAGGCACTGGAGAGGAGGGACTTGGGTCATCAACATTTGACATTTGTGGGTACTGACACAGGCACGGGAGGCGGCTCATGCTGCTGTTTCTGTCTCCTCGTGTATACTCTCAGCTCCCCCTGACTTTGACTACCAACTCCTAAGTCACCACCACTACTCGGCGATGTACCATCACTACTCGGTGACTCAAGGGGACATGGAATCATCCCGACCACAATATCATTCTCATTCTCATTCTCCCCCTCTCTACTAGCATCAGTAGAGCCATCGCCAAACAAGGAACTCAACTCCGTTTTCTCCCCATAAAAAGGTTCAAACTCCTGAAAAGTCACATCCATACTGACAAACAGCCTTCTTTCAGTGGGACACCAACACTTGTATCCTTTTTGACTTGATGAGTAGCCAACAAAGATACATTTAACTGCTTGCGGATCCAGTTTACTCACCATCAACCTGTGATCTCTCACATAACATGTGCATCCAAACACTCTTGGTGGAACAACAAAAACATTCGAGCCCAAAAGCATCTCACATGGTGTCTTCATCCCTAATACTATGGATGGCATCCTGTTGATCAAATAAGCTGCTGTCATAACAGGATCACTCCATAAAAACTTAGGCACATTCATTGTCAACATCAATGAGCGTGCCACTTCCAGTAGATGCCTGTTCTTACGCTCAGCCACCCCATTCTGAGCAGGGGTGTCTGGGCAGGTGGTTTGATGAACAATTCCCTGATTAGAGATGAAAGCTGCAAACTCCTTATTGACATACTCAGTCCCATTATCTGTTCGAAGAATCTTCACCTGCACTCCAAACTGTGTCTTCACATAAGCCGAGCAATCTTGAAAACATTTGTAAACCTCTGATTTCTGCTTCATCATGTATATCCAGGTCATACGTGAATAACAATCAATGAAAGTAACAAACCATCTAAAACCACTGATAGAGGTAGTAGGACATGGTCCCCAAACATCAGAATGGACAAGTGCAAATGGTTCACAACTTCGAAGACCAATCATTCTATAAGTAGAACGAGTATGTTTTCCAAGTTCACATGCATTACAAAATAACTCTTTTCTATTCACTTTTTTCATTAACTCCGGTTCTAATCTATTTAAACTCTCAAAAGATAAATGCCCTAACCGGCAATGTTGAAGCATCGCTTCTGCCTCTGGCCCTCCGCTAACAGCAGCAGCAATCATTGCTGTCTCCCTGTCCAAATACCAAAGACCATCACGTCTGATACCAGTCCCAATCCTCCTCCCCGTTTCCTTCTCTTGAAAGACACACAAATCTCGAT